TTTAAGATCCCCCCTGAACCTCTTCTACTCCAGGCTGAACAGTCCCAGCTTTCTCAGCCTTTCCTCACAGGAAAGAGAGTCCCTTTGCTGGACTCTCAGCAGTAGCGCCATATATAGTAGCTCCACAAATTCAGGTTTTGCCTGCATTCATTATCCTCATGTCTTTGAGAAATAAAACCAAACAATTATAAGTACTGTCGTTGGTGTTAAGATAGCAACCAGAGAATCATCCTTTTGGGGTCTATAGGAACAACAGTGCTATGAAACAATATAACCTCTAAAAGAATTATCACATTCTCATGCCTCATGCTTGTAGGTACGTGACTATGCAATCACTTCAATGACAATGAGCATTTTGTGGCTCAATATCAAACAGGCACTATAAAAATTCACCCTGCGAAGTCTCTTATTTCAAAAATGGGAAGCTGAAAATAGCTTTAAGCCAGGAGAAAAGAAACCTGCAATTCCTCAGGCATTCTAAGCAATGCTATGAGTTGTAATTGAAAACTCCCTCATGCAATGTGACCTTGTTTGAATTAATTGGGTTTTGGAATTACTGCTCAATAGTTCAGTAAATGTGGAATTCTCTTACATTTACTCATTGCCAAGCAGAGTCCTACTGGCTGAGAACAGTGAAATGCCCAAAAGTGCCATCTCTTCAGAAAGCTTTGGTTTAATAGCACGAATTAGTTGAGAGGGAGTGCATGTACAAATAGTCAGAAAAGTTTTTCTAATGCTACGTTTTTGTGAAAAATGAGGCAAATCATTGAAGTGGATTGTGCTGGTCACTTAGGGTGAGACTTCCTAACTGACTGCAGCACTTCAATTCCTGCATATACAATATGTATAGAGTCTTCTTTTGAAGCCATCTCACATTGTCTATGAAAGCAATACTCACTGAGCAGATATCCCACCTGGGAGATGGGCTTCCTGAGAAGTGAGCTAGAGATGCAGCGTCTCTCTGAATGAAGATGAAAGTGCTTTACACTATATATAAAACCTCTATCAGGAGAGACTTAGTATGTCCTCCACAGTCTGGAGCTGAGGACATCCATCTGAATGGCCAGAGGTGTGAATTCCAATTTACTCTCTGAAATTGCTCCTGTGACTGGGATTTCAACATGTGCTTTTTCACTACAGAAGATCCAAATTGGTAGCTCCAGTGTTTTTCCAACTCAGTATTTCTGAATTCATGGCAAAACCAAACAAAATCAACAGGAAAAATGGAGCAAACATTCAGAAATATTCTATAACACACAGAGTATGTCATTTACAGGACTATCTCTGCATGTAGGTCATGTAACAAAAATGAGATGATCTTCTCAGATGAAGTGGAAAGAGAGAATAGTTAAGATTTTCCACATCTCCTTGTTAGCCATGATGTCCTACAACAATCCAGTGTTGTACAATGCTATGTGAATTACTTTTCAGTGCGATGGGTACTGCTAAAGTGGGATAAAGTGCCCTGTGGCACTGCTTCCTGCTAGCAGGCTCTTATTCTCAACAGGACTACATGGCTAACACTCACTTATGTACCAAGCTGGCAATACTGCTGTGGTCTTGGAATCACCAAGAATGGAAAAGATTTCCACAGTCATCCTGTCCAACTACCCACCACCAATATTTCCTCACTATGCTATGTCCCTTAAACCACATCCCATGGTCCTACAGGTCACTTGTGCACTTCCCCACAGCACTCTGCTGCACCAGTCAGGCATTACCAGTAAGGAGCCTTAAAAATGACATATGACCATCCAGATATACCAATGCAGCAGGGAACTGAGCTGGTACTATCTAGAAAAGCAATTCAGATTTCATGCACTCCTGAAAAGTGAAGCACGTCTTGCAAGAGCAATATGTAAGGCAGTAGTAGTCAGGATGACTCCTGCACTTTATGGCCTCCCATTCAGGAAATTAGATGTTGTCTGTGATGGAGGGATGAGGTGGGAGGCAGCAGCAGCTGGAGCTGTATTTTCTCAGCTGTGCATATGACAGCTGTGACTGGATTCAGTTCAGAGACTGAAAAGATACTGTCATTTGGGGCTTCTAACATGAAGTATTTTTTATCAAGTTCATTATCTCTTTACAAAATGAGACAGGATGGACAGAAATGCTCTAATCACAAAGAAATATGATAAGCCTCTGCAGGGGTCACACAGCCCGCTTCCAGCTTCCAGCATGCTTCCAGCACTGGCTGCCCCACTGCACTGTCACTTGTCTGGTTCATTTACACCTGGTGTAGGTAGTGAGTGCCCTATGCCTTGTCACACTCTCATTTAGAGTTCCATACACAACTAAACTACGTGGGTCTGCAGAAAAGTTACGTACTCAGCATTTGATTCTACCAATGAGCCATCTGATTTTCTCTGGAAAGTTGTACACACTTAAGAAGAGCTATTGGTAATTCTTTTTCCATCTATTAGCAAACGTTCTTAACAGAGCCCACTAATAACACCCCACATAATATTCATTACAGCTGCAACCATTCCACCTTCTGGAAGCTGTTCAAACATCTAGGAAAATTTTCAGAAAATGCATGCTGTAAATATAGATTCCATAGGTTTATAATTGAGCTCATAGATCAAATGTTATTATTTTTATTTTAGATTTACATTTTTAGTTACATGAATTAATTTTTCGCTATGCCTGAGTGTTATGATTTGATTGCTTTACAACATCGATAAGAGGCGGCCATGACCTATATCACTAAAATTTCAAGGAATAATTAAATTGCACTGCCTGTCAATTTGCTAAGGAATTGCTTTAGTTTTTTTGCCAAGAAGAGTCTGTAACATCAGAAGCTAAAAGGGAATTAATGCAATGTAATTTTCCTAAGAATTCAAAAGCTGAATTGGAATTGAAAGCCGATGCGAAACTTTGACCTTTTTGACATTTATTTGAATGAAGCTCGTATAAACATTAAATATCTGCTAATGCCATTTTCATATTTCAGGCAACTGCTTTTTTTACAGTTTTCAGAGAGGAGTGGAGAAATAAGAGATTTTTTGAACTACAGTAATAATAGGAAATGAAGCATCTCCCTCTGATGTGGCAAGGGCTGAAGAGAGAAATATGGAAGAGTTTACCCCAGGGTTTTATAAACAAGAACTTATTTGACAACTGAAAATTGCAATTAAAGTGAGTCACATAATCCTTCCTCTTCTTTTAGATCAGATAAATATTTGTAACTCAAATATTTATTCACCATGAAAGCTGAGGACAGTGGCGCAGAAATAATAATTTGAATACAGAACCACACTCAGAACTGTATACAGTTCATAGGCTTCAAAAGAGTTTTGGCAGGGCTATGCATCTCAAATCATCATTATTTTTGAGATCTTTTTTCTTCTCAATGTCAATATCACTTCACCACAACAAATAAGAAAGATTAAATATTTGGGCAAGAAAATCCATCTGATAAGTCATTCCCAAAATGAGACAAAGCCATGAGTGAAATGAAAGTTATAGATTTCAATACCTCGTTATTTAGCCAGCAGACTGCTAATCAATGTTAAACATTTTTCATAAGTATGAAAACTCCAGGATGAAAACATGTTTATTGCCTAATCTAGTTATTTTCCCAAACATATTCTATTATTCAGCTTTGTTACTCCTGAGAGAACAATTTCTTTTCAGCTGAGAATTTTAGGCTTATCTGGCGTATATATTCAGGACAGCTCAGGTAAAAACCAATTATCTTGATAACCAAAATAATTCTGAAAATATTCCGACTCGGCAACTACAGTCAGATATCAAAATAAGTATTTAGTTCTGCCCTTTGTCATAGAAGGTTTCTTCATAAAATGATCACACATCACCGTAAGACAAAGATGAAACATTAGTCTCTGGGGTAGCAGTGAAGTCTCCTTTTATATCATGTATCATGATAGCATTTCTATTAAACAAGGGACAGAAACGTCCCTAGAGGTATCACTATAAGTCACAGCTCCTGATTTTATGCAAAGTTATATACAGAAATTAAAATGCTATATTGAAGATAAAATAACATTTTATACTACTTCTGGAATACAGATTTCTGTTATTCAACCTTAGTTTACTTCCTCCTAGCAATCTGTTATGTAACGTGTGTCAAGCAAATAATTTCCAAAGTATTTCTACATGACACATTTTGAGCTATGTTCTCACCTTCCACAGATGAGCAGCCTGTACTGCAATTTAACGGTGTGTTGCAAGGTCAGTATCATGTTTAGGAACTGTCACTAACTTATTTGGAAGCACAAAAGTGAATTTGGAATCCCTTAGCAAAGAATATGTATTATAATTATTTGTTATAAATTTTTTAGTAATTTTCCTTCTTTCTGTGCCAACATTTGTCTGCCTGTGTTAAATACTGATATTCTAAAATGAATACAGCCATCCTTTTTGCTAAGTAACAAATAAGATAAAAGAAAGTTTCAACAAGAATATTAAAGATTCTAAAAATGAATAATACAACAACAAATGCTAATGGTTACTGAAGACGTTATGTTTACAATTCAGTCTATTGATACAACTGGTTATGCCTTTTTCTAAAGTAATGTTAATTGCATCTAAGTCAGTTAGACCAAATATTTAATATCTTGCTTCTATTTTTCTTTTGGTACTACTTTTCTTTTGGTACTATAAGGACCTAAATTAAGATCCTTATTGATCTCCCTTATATTTATTGTTATATAACAATACACAAATGATGTTTTTGTACATACAATTTTGTATTTGTACTTGGAAAATAAATGAAATAGAGGTCAAATTATATCTGTGCTGAAATTCATCTCCAATGAATAATGCACACAGGAACCTCCCCAGAAGGAGCTTATTCCAAGCTGCAATAGCACAATTTTTGTAAAAAAGAATGCTGGTATCAGACATCACTACACAGGGAAGTTATTTCCAGTGTCAAATATCCTCTTACGAAAGAGTATATTTTCACATATCCTTTTACGAAAGACTAAATATTTTTACATGCAGGAGAGTGGAAGGGACAATGTAGATTTGCTTACCTGTGGTTGACCTGATAGTTGAGGTGATGTTGGAAGATGCCATCGCAGGTATACATTCATCATCTTGGGAATAGCCTGCCTGAATGGCACGCAAGTAACTGTGGCTTCTTGTTCGGAAACATCCAGGGAGGTCAAGGGCATCCATTGCCTGAGCTTCAACTTCACTAAACACTGATTCACACACCGATTCAAATTGCCCATTAACCTCTGCTTCACTCATCTGAATAAACAACAACAATGCATTTGATTTTTGACTTGCTTTTTTGTGATCATCACGGCCTCAACATCTCAAATGGACACCTGTACATTGATGAAGAACTGTTTTAGCAAATAGTTAAAATTTAGTAATCCCTTCTGATCACATTTACATTTTTTCATAACTTACATCAGCTGTTTATATGTATATAGTAAGCACATCACACATGCCATACAATTAATTTTATGTTTAGTATCTTTTGGCTATTCAAAAAACTATAATACATGTTTTCAATGGAAACCAACAAGTCTAAGATCACAATGGACTGACAGAAATCCATGTTTGTGGGAGTTGGACTAGATCATCTCTAGGCGTCCCATCCAAACCTTGTAGTTCTGTGTTTCTGTCAGCACTGGGGAACAGAAATTAGCTACACTAATATTAGTTCTCAAAAAGTGAGGGTGGATTGCCTGAGCACCTATCAGCAAAGTTATGCATCATGTAGACCTGCTGCACAGGCTGTTTTCTTCCTCTCATTATGAACAGACGTATCTCATACTTGAAGTTCTGCGAGTTCAGAGAAATATTGCATCTACTTGTGCCCAAAGCATGTGAAATAATATATATTCTTCAAAACAGTGTGAAAAGCGGCCAGATAAGAAAGCAATGCTTGGACCAGACTCACGTAAGTAGGGCCCTAAAATAAACTCTCATTTCTTAGTTACTGGTTAGCCATTTGACCACTGTGTAAAAATGAGATGCAGCCATGAGTGCTATCATCTTTCCTTTAGAAGTGTAATTTTAAGTCTGACAGTTCCATCATAATGCTTGTGGAGGAACCCATATCAGAGCGCACCAGAAGTGCCATGGACACCACCTACCAGCCTGGACCTTGGGAAGGTCTCCACCTCACCCTCCAGATCCTCACAGGGCATAGATAGAAGCCAGCAAGCCCCAGTAGGTTGGGTGTGATACAAAATTGAACAGTTTTAGGTAGCTTTCATGATTAATAGGTTGTAGGAAGGCTACCCTGGGGGTTGTAAGAAATTGTATTGAGTTGTGGAGATGAGTGTCTAAACACTACATAGATCCTTTAAACAAGTTCTATAAAGTCAGTCCAGACCGGCTCTAACTGTATGTGAATAATTCCCAATTTTTATCAAAACCAGATGAAAAGCTAAACACTCGACAGACATGCCTCCTGATGTGTCTCCCTGAAAATAATTTTTTAAAGGGAGTGCTAGAAATCAGAATCAGTATTAAGACAAGGTAAAATTAGTAGCGTCAGTTAACAGCACATCTAGTTGATATTACTTCTTCTGTGTGGGTGACAAGTGCATTTTTCATTATTACTGTTCCTAGCACATAATTCATTATGGAAACAGTGAGTGCAAATGTTTCAAATGTTCTAGGATTTTGATTAAGTAAATGGAAATTTCATACAGAACTTCTGATGATAATTAATAACTGATATTTTAATTTCATGTAAGACATTTCGGCTACTAAATCTTCTCTGAAAGGAATTACATTACCCTTCATAAAATTTGTTTCTAATAAAGTTAAGTAGTCTAATGCAATCTCTAAAAGATTGAAAAAAAATCTTACACTGAAATATTTTGCATACATCATTCATCAGGAAATTTGTGGTAATGTAGTCCATAAACTCAGTAAGTCCTAAACACTTCCTTCATGCTAAGGTCACTGACTGGAAAAATTAAACATTTTAAACTTAAATTACAAATGTAAACTATGGAATCCAGCATCTTACTTGATTGCATCCTTGGTCAAAAGTGACAAAAAAAAAGAAAAAAAATCTCATGAAAAAGGACATTAGAAATATCACAAATGATACAAACTGCTATTATGTAGATGGGACAACAAGGTGATGGTGTCATAGAAAAGGAACAGAAGGAGGCAAAGGTTCAAAACTTTTTGTTTTAAGGCAATTACTTCATGTAGTACTTACTAAATGCTTTTATTACTAATCTGGAAACAGAGAGCAAGTTAGAAAGTACATTTTTGGCACAAAATTATGTGGGTTATTGAAAACTGGAAAAGAAAGAATCATATCAAGCATGACTTGGTTAATTTGTCTAACTGCAAATTAAACCTGTTGTGGACATCTTACCAGGTGATGTGCATTGTATTGGAATGAAAGATTTGAACCTCTACTGAAACCAGCTAGTTGTTACAGTTCAGTGAACACTTCTATACACAGAGATGGTCAAAAAGGCAGAAGACATTAGTGTAGTTCTATGTTACAGCATTACCTTAGTGACAGACAACAGCCCTTTGCTTTGAATGCATTTTTTTTTTTTTTTTTTTTTTTCAAAAATAGAGTTTAATAAACATAGAAAATAAGCAAAGCAGGGCAATGAAAACCAAGGCATGAAAATGATGAGACAGATTCCACAAGGGAGCTATGAAAAGAAAAAGGGTTTGGAGAATGACTGACTGACAGTTTCTAGTGCCGGTATGTGCTATACGAGATTATAGTTAGATTTATCTCACATAAATTGAGGAACTTGACTGAAGGGCATTAGTCAGGCAGCTAATACCTCCCAGTGCTCTACAGTCTGGAGAATGACAAGCACTTCCAGAGGGCTCTCAGCCCACTTAGGGTGTGCACTGTCCTGGAAGAAACTCTTTCACTCCATTAAGTTCAGAGGAAGATCTAGTTGTTGCCTCAGTTAAAAGCCTCAAGTAAGATGAGCTGAATCCAGGCCTGAATAGTCATGCAATACAAATTGAATGTGAATGAGTTCAAAAATTGCTTTAAAAGATATATATTTTCTTAACATAAGCATTGCACATAATTAGCTACTATACCCTTAGGTGCACCATGAAATGCTCAAAGAAAAGTAAAATACGTATCTGAGAGGAGGGCAGGGTCCTACTCTCATGAAGCAGCACAGGGAAGAAATGTCAGAACCAAAGAACGTGAGGAACATTGGAAATTGTATGTAAAATACTCTGTTAAACAGAATATCCACATACTTTATAAGACTGTTTGCAGTTCAGGCCTGATTCAGATCTCACTTCATCATGAGTTAGTACTAAATAACAAATCTAAAAACAGCAGAATGGAAAAATGTCACCTTTCCCGTATGTAGAATAATTGATGAGACTTTTTCTTTGACCCAAGAAGAATGAAGGGATTGAATTAAAAGATGAATCACTGCTCCTTTGGAGCATAATTATTTTAATCAATATTTTAATCTGGCAACCTACATTTATTGAAATCAGAGTGGTATTTTCAGAGGATAAGTTTTATAGGAGTGTGCCTTTTATGTCGTCTGCATCTTCTTAAGTATTTAATGTGCACTGAAACTGAAAATATAAGTATTTGTTGGTTTTTTTTCTGAAAAAAAAAATGGAAAATGTTGTTGTGTGTTACTGTGTCCTTTTGCTTCTAGTACTGAATATTTTTGTTGAAATTACGAACAAGGGTAGTATTCTTTAGAACCAAATTACTTTGACAATCCATATCCTCAGTCTGATATTACTTCAAACAAACAAAAATCAACTATAACCATCCACTACCAGCAACTCTTGCATCTGTGATTAACCTAGAAGAAAAGTTACAACAAGAATTTCCCACCTGACTAACACAGCTGGCCTGACTGAGCGTGCTCACTGCTCTCATATAGCTCTGATTCCTTGAGCGAAACTTTGGGGAATTGTAGTTTGCAGAGGGATCCAGGTTGTGACCCCCAGGCACGTCACTTGCAGTTTGAAGGTAGCTCTGACTACAAAGGAAAGAGGAAGAAAAAAGGAAAGGATGTAAAACTACAGATGGAATCAATTAGGACACTAAAGACAGTATTTTGTACATGATTCATAAATCCATTCCCCAGGGTCAAAAATCTCTCTCTGTAAAGCATCATAGATCTGCTGTAGTAAATGCTTTGACACAAGCAGAGAATGTCTGCAGTTCTGCTACCTGAAATTTTAAGTATTTTTGCTGTATTTAAACATCATCAATCCTCCCGACTATTAACACTGAACTTTACTCAAACAGAATGCATAGGTCATCAGAAACAAGAAACAGAGCTAAAGCATAAACCAAAGTAACAAAAAACATCTCATAGAGATAACAAAATCTGTTATTTGTTATCTGTTCTTCATCAAGTGCTAGGCTTCAAAAGACCTTTTATCTTTTTACCAAAGATCAAAATGTCCTCTGTTCAGTGCAAGATTAGTAAGGGATTCAGAGCACCTGCATAAAGCTCCAGAAATGCTATTCTTGCAACACATCTCCCCGTTTAGAGGACTGGGACCCTAACACCATACTGAGTACCTTCAAATGCTTTTGCTACAAGGCTATGTTAGTCTTCATGTTATACATCAAATACATTGATTAGCTATCATTGTGGGAAGGTAAAGGAAGTAGAAGAAAAGAACTGTACTTTGCTTTGAATACAGAATTTAAAAAAAATGGAAAGTTATGAACAACGTTTATCTGAGACATCAGAAGCTCTAAAAAGCCATATTTTAGGAGTCATATGTCACTTCTCCTTAAACAGCAGTGCACAAATTTATGAATATTTCAGAAAATTTGGGTTTTCATGTAGTAAATAGGCAGCGCTTAATGGTAGTTTTAACAATTCCTTAAAGATAGTTTTAACAAAAACACAGTTTCTGTGAAAAATGGATCTGTGCCAGCGAAATATCTATCAGTACTGGCAATGCACTTTGAGTCACTCAGTGCAGCAGCAGCTGTGATATGTGCCAGGACTGTTGGGAATTTCCCCATGGAAGGGGAAGTTTCTGCTTTGGAAGGACCAGACCGCTCCAGCAAATAAAGCCACAGGTTCCACTCCAGGTGCAAAGTAAGGTATAAACCATGACTTGGCTTCTTACGTTTATGAAATTTCAAGCATGACCATAGGCCAGTGCTTAGGGAAGGATTCATCAGACTTCCTTGAGGAGTAGGCCTAGATTTGAGCAATCCACGAAGAACACTCGGAGGAATCTCAGGCCCTTTGTCGTGACTTTGACTAGAGCAGCAAGGAGTGCTGAGCTCTGGCTCCCTGTGTGGCCATTTCCTTTGATGTCAGACATGTAAGATGACTCAATGTCCTTCACATCACCAGCTGCGAGAATAGATGGGATTTACAGACCTCCTGACCTTACACTTGGAAGATCTACTCTGAATTGTTCCATGTGTTATTCCTGCCTTGGTCATCTCAGGCTCAGCACAGACAGCTTTACTTCCTTGGGGCAGCTATCTGCTTCTCTACGATGGGCTACCTGCTTCTTCTTCTTCAAAGAAAAAGGAAATGTCATTTACTTAAATCTTCATGCGAGGCAGGCTTTATTTTCTGAACTCTTAAGACATTTCCCTGGAAGCTATACTGTTTTTTACTTCCTGATTTTGGTTGCTGCCTTTCATAGAATATCTCCTTAACTTCAAGACAGAGGTAAACTGTGTAGAAGCTATGCTATATCTGTTGAATCAAAATGAAAATGTATGACACTGGTGCAGGCACCTGAACATTGGCTAATTAAATCATTACTGTCAAAATGACTTGCAGATTATGGTAAGTCTCTGATAGAGGCTCTGATTTGATTTTAGATTATGAAAACAGGAACTGTAATCACCTTTTTTGTTCCCATTGGTGTGAAGACAAATATAACAGATTAGGCAAAGTGATACAGAGCCTACCTGCCCACATTAAATTGTTGGATGTAACAACACCTATTTTCCTTTGTAGGCATCAGGCTGATGGTTGTCACCTGCTTTGTATCATCTTGATTCTTTTTACATGCTTTACTAAATCTGCCTAGTATTGTTAATGTCGTATTTTTCAGAACAGTTTGATAAGTCACATCTGGACCTTCTGCTTGTCATCAGATGATAAAATCTTGGATTCTGAGTTCAGAAGCAGTTTATGAATGAAAGGAGTATTTGAGGTATTTGTTAAAACCAGGGCAAAATAAAGAAAGAGGCAAAATAATTAAAGTGTGAATAAATAATTATTTTAACAGCTATTTTAAAAAATGAATTAAACTGGCTCCTAATAACTGGTTCCTTCGCTAAGTGATTTTGATGAAAAATAGTATTTCTTTATGGAGGTACCGGTTCCTTGTGAAGTATTACTATCATTAAATACAATCAACAATGTTTACAACAGTAATTTGTGAGAAGAATAAGCCCCATATGCCATGGTACTGCCAAGCAGCTGGATTTTGATCTATGAGTTTGGACATAACATGGTAGTTAAATAATTTTTCATTTATTAGAGGAAAGCAATTTATTCATAGGGCTCTAACAAAATAAAAGAAGTGTTACATATATTAGACTGTAAAAGCAATTTCACATTTCTTCAATTAATACTTTGAACTCCTTTCTGTTAAAAAGAAATGATTAATTTTCATTTTTAAGATATACATTCAAGTTAATCCTCTAGGATAAATGTCTCAATGCATAGTAAAACTGGCGGTCGTGTTATAACCATGATCCAGAAACATAAATGGTTTAAACACAAAAGTTACATAGATATATTTTTTTCAAATATCATTACCCATTGCTCAAAAAACTTTCACGATTACCAATAATGCTATAAGATCATATGTGACATTGGTAAAAGCTGGCTTTTTAATGGCAGTCACTCTGTTTATAAACTCAGCTACAAATTTCTTGACCAAAATACCAAAATGTTCCAAAATACCACAGCTCTATCAACTTCCATATAAGAAAATGATTTTCTTTTATGATCTGCAGTAGATGGTATTATCAGCTAATTGCTGATGAAGACAAGCATGGACATATAAAATGGTTTGATAGTTCATCTCCAGGGCCACAAAACAAATGTACACATTAACATTAAATAGGTGAGTGCAAAGTTTGGTACTGTGGAAAGAAAGGAAGAGACTAAAAGCAAAAATTAAACTGATATGTCAGCCCACTTTCCACTTGCTTTTCAAAACAGACAAGTTCTTATGGATTCCTCTTTAAAAGCCTCTTTGTTTGTTTTTTTTCCCCCTCAAGGGTTGCCTTCCCTTTACCACTGGATTAGAGAAAGTCCACAGAAGCTAGGGGGAAATCTTTTTTGAGACGTCTCTTAGCTGAAAGCAAGGTTCAAAGCCTCAACAAACTTTTGGGTATAAGGAAGTCCTATGTACAGACACTGCAGCTCCTGACAACATCTACTGTAAAAGGAAAGCGTTAGGAGTCCCAGTGAAGATAGCCAAATTTGCAACAGCACTTTCAGTACCAGGCAGGTTGTGTGAGTGTATTCAGGGAAGACAAAATATTGTATTATAACAGTCAACTATAGCATGGCATGCTCATGTGGGATAGTATAACTGGTAGTATATCTGATAATACATCTCATATATATAACCCTGACATAGAGTGAACGAGGAAGAAGTTAGACTGCATATTCAAACAGAAAAAAAAAGTAGATGAAGAATAAGGGAAGAGACAACAGTCCAAAAAAAGAGTACTTAGAAGTTTCTAGAAGTCTTGCATTACAGCCTCCCTTTTTTTGCTTACCTCTAGCCTGCAAAGTCTCAGGTCTCTATTCCAGACCTCATATGCCCTGCAGCTCCTATCTGAAAGCTGCATTTTCCTTCAGCCCCCGAATTCACATATACAAAAAAAATACACATTCAGCTCTCTTCTCTTCTTGGTCAACCCAGATCCTACTCCTTCCTGCTGCTTAGACTCCTCTCAATTCCCAGCCCACAGTTCTGTTCAAGAGCTTTCAAAACATCATCACAGAAGCCAGTAACCTCTGTTACTTTAGACCTAAAAGCTACAAGGTATGCTGAAAAAGAAAAAAGAAAAGAAAAGGAAAAAAAGACGTTTTTGACTTTCAGAAAACACATTTTCTTCTGTTTATCCATTTCTTGTAGCTACCTTTAAAAGGACTCCGAACAGTAAAGATGTAGGAAGACACTTAAGTTTACTTATTGTGATCAAAAAGCATTAGATGGTATTTAGATTAGATGGAGGAGCAAATCTAGGTCCCCTTATCTTTTTTACCCACTTATCCTGTTGTAACCAAGACTTGAAAAACTAAAGGGTATTTAGAACCTGCTTTAATAAATGGAACAGTCATGTAAGCTAATGCAATAACTGCAGTATTGCTAATGCAATAACTGCAGTAAAGCATTAGTAAGGGAAGGAATCTTATTTCCTCATCCTTAGCCATCTATTATTTAGCCATTTATTTCCTCTGTTAACAGCATTTTTAAGAGGAGTAAAATTGTTTAAGTTACTTTATACTAAATAACTTCCTTTGTTCTTTTTCCAGAATTTCACTGTTCTACCTAACTTTTGTAAAGTTTAAATGACTGCGCACTGTGCCTGAAGCAGCCAAACAACTTCAGCATGAATTGCTGGCTGATTCGTGGTGTTCTCGCTGTAGTCTTTACTACACCCTTGCTGTGGTCTTTGCACCACTCACTTGGTTTGTCACTTTGTGCAGCACTGAGTTAATGCTTTGTCATCACTGAGCTCAGATGCTGATGTGACTCTTTTTTTCCACAAGCCTGTGTCATTGCTATATGACTAGCAATTTCTGCAAACTGGACTAATAGCATTCAGTACTGTACAGTGACTCATTTAACAACTGGATGTTCTGCAGAAGGGATGTCTTTTGGCAATTTGGCTAAAAGATATCTGATATGCATGACAGGAAAGGCATCTGATATGCATGATAATAAAACATTATCGTTTTCCTTTTAGGACACCCTGAAATTCCAGATTGACTAACTGACTTGGTCTTAGAATTTATAG